GACAACAGAGCTGCTTCATGGAAGAACAACCTCAGCTTAGCCTGTTAGCCTTCGTGCTATATAGCCTTAACAAACAAGCTAACCTGTTGTCCTCCATCCATATTTTCAGTTCCAGGCTGAGTCATTTCTACCTTCTCCTCTCTGTCAACGCTCTCTGGTTTCATTTAAAAGAGTCAATCATCAGATATTGTCCAAGATTAACCTTCAGGGTGGATATAGCTCGCTAGCAGCCTCGCACGGAGGACCTTTCCACGTCATCATTTACCCAAAATGCTTTGTGTGCAAATAAAATGGCTCCGTCCGTGTTAAAATGTATTTTTAAAAATGTACAAAACTAAACAGCCTACAGTATTTTCAAAGTCTTTATTTTACAGTTAAAATATATGTTTATCAAATAAAGTCTAATGTCTAATCAGGGATCCCTTTAATTTTATTAAAGTCTGACTGAATCAGTTTGCATCCAAGGCTCAGAGTTCATAAACACAGCAGGTAAAAGAACATCAGTACTCACTGAAACTAACACTTTTTTTTATTTGTCTAGTTCCACATTATTCAAAAACAAGGACGGACTCAGTTTGGATTCAGAGCTGAAAAAAAGGATGATGATTTATTATGAACATTCCTGCATCGCAGCCATAAATCCACCTCACAGGAATATTMTGAAAAAGGGTAAGCCACAGTGCCTGAGTGATTTTTGGTGAAACAAAGCAATGTTAGTTTTACAATAGGAAAAAATTTATGGATCCCGAGAAGCTGCAGGGTTGTTTTCAACAGTCAGTGGAAGAATCAGATCAGATGTGTTTTGGAGATCAAAGCATCTTTAGGTTGAGCATCAGAGGAAACAGGTCCAGGAGAGAAACTCAAACATCTCTGTCTCTCTCCAGTAAGAATCATCAGTTCCTACAGGAGAACCCAAGGTCACACAGCATTTAGAATCTCTCCAGCAAATACTGGGTTTGCCTCAGAATCTCCGTTCAGTGGAACGTGCCTGGAAAATATCTGGAGGGAAGGGCAAAGTCGGCATCCTCAACCACTGCAGCTCACTTCTTACACCAGGAAGTCACAATTACAGCAAACTAAAGACCCTGATGAAAGAAAACCAAGAACTAGTTGAAGCCTCCACCAGTGATTAGTTGGCAAGTGAAGATAGAGCCCCAGGTGTGACGATTGTAATGGGATTTATTGTATAAATGCACTAAAAAACTAAAAGCACTCGGAGAGTGCAAACCTCTGCCAAGTCCAATTTCCCCAATCCTGTAACAGAGCTAATGCACAAAAGCAGAGAAGGAAACACATTTGCCGAATAAGTTGTGCCGTAGTGAACATTTAAGCAGGCAGTATGCACGGGATTTCTTCCCGGTGGAGTCCAATGTGAAAAAAAAGGAAAAAAGTCCGACTCGTCACTCGACGTTATTGTTGAAAGCTTTCGCATCGGTGCTACGTGATTCAAAAAAGCAGAGTTTTCATCGTGCATGTAATCACACAGACACACACGTGTCTTCCTATCTTTGTGAGGACCACACACAGCGGTCACAACCATGCTCTGCGCATTCTTTTTTCCCCAAAGTTTGGCGAGAGGTGGATAGAGGGGCGCACAAGTAGCTCTCGACTTGACCTGGCCTCATTTAAATAATAATAAAAATKAACAAAGAAACAAACAAACAACCTCCGAGACTGAAGTCCACCATGTCACTCCTCTTCCTCACTCTTCATCGATCTGTGTACAAGCCTACCGACAATGTGGTGTGTTTGAGGAAATGGGAAAAATAGGTTTCATGGTGCAGTCACGCACTTCGTGGTCACAAAACGTTCTGTAAATGTGCACCAAATGCGTAAAAATGTGCACATTATGACAAGAATTATTCATCATTACATCTGGTTTTAACATTACTTTTATAAAGTTTGAAGTCCAAACACTGAAAGCTGTCACTGTTTTTTTACAGAAGCCCCGTGAAAGCATCACAGCTTTGCTGATCTGAGAGGATTAAAAAAAATTAAAAATTCCTGTAGCCGCAACGTGATCCGGAACATCACCAAAATTTAATGGTGTGCTACTTGTGCCAGTACCCACATGTATTGTAAATGTCATGACAATCTGTACTCAAGTTTTTGAGTAATGTTGTTCACAGACAGACGGACAAACAGAGAGACAGACAGGCATACGCGATCGAAAACATTACCTCGCCGTTGGCAGAGGTAATAAAAAGATGTATGTTTTTTATTAACATTAAAGAGGTCATATAAATGTGTTATTGAAAATATACTTGTCAAATATTTTTTGTGTTTGAAGCCATGTTCTTATGAGTATTTCTGTTTGTTTTTTTTTTCCAGCTGTTAATGGTGCTCATTTCCCCCCAAATAAGTGCCAAATTGGTTGCTTTCCTCTCAGCTGGTCCCACTCCTTCAACCCATCACCCCCTCACCAGTCAGAACATCTTTGAAATACTTGATCTCCTGTTTGAAAACCGAGCTCCTCGTGTTGCTCCATCAGCAGGCTTTCTGTGAACTTAGACTTCAGTAGCTCAATAAAACACAGCCTTTATTGGCTTTTACCAACTCTATGCCTCCACAGAGAGCTGGTTAGGCTCCATTTAGAGCTTTTTAACTACATTATAGTCATGACTGTGGCTCAACCCACTAATTGGGTTTCACATCGTGAATGACCTGCAGTCACTTTCAGGCCTTTATGTAGTGACAAACAAAGGGGATTTTGATTCTGTGAATTGTTTATCACCCACCACTGAATGCTTTCTGAGCAAAATGTCTCATGAAACACCAAATAGATTTTAACGAAACTTTTAAAACTCATTCAACGGATCTACAACTGAATACATTTTGCATTTAGAGCAATTCAATATGACAACTCTTTAGAAAGCACAAAAGGTAAATTTTACAGATGTTGAGTTAAAATGTGGCATACTGTATAGCTGAGAGTCATTCTCAACACATTCCACAACATCTTTGCCTAAAATGCTGGCACTAACTGGAGGAGTCAGCCCTGTTTGTTTGTTTGTTAGCGAGTTATGAATCACTATGTATTTTTCTAAACTTTCAGAGAATATGTATTGGCTGTGCATCTACAACTGATTAACTTTGAAAGTCAATAATTTTTAATTATTCAAGATGACAACCACAAAACAACTGTACCTCTGAGTGTAAAAATAGCTCAGTCATTCACACATTCCTAGTCAGGGCCGGCCCATGTGTAGGCAGTATAGGCAAATGCTTAGAGTGCCGTCTAATGCAGTCTGTGATGCTGTCATGGGGAGGACATCGACAGCATCACAGACTGCATTACGGACTACATCAATTACTTCTGTCTTTTTTACTCAGAACTGACAGTTTTACAGACATCTGAGAAACTTAAAACAGCTAGACTAGTGCATTCTAAATTTAAAGATTAACTTACCCCAAAATTAACTTTTTTTGGCTGATAAACTGCCCAGAATGTGTCTAAAATGCAGGATAGTACTGGTTCTGTGCTAATTTWGATGTTTTTGTGCGTATTTGTTCAAATCTATAATATTTGGTCTAAAAATGTGTTTTTGCTGCTC